TGTATATATATTACGCCTTGCCGGGGCTTGCGATGGCCGGTTGAGAGCCGTATGGGAAGTAGGACGTGGGCACTGAATGTGTCCCCAGCCGGCGTTGTAATAACCGTCGATGGTTAAGTAGTTAGATTATATACGCTGGAAGAGGAGATCGGATCGGAGGTCCGGGTAGCGTAACTGGCAACGCATCTGCACGGTAAGCAGGAGTTGTGGGTTCGAGTCCCGCTCCGGGCCGATTTTTTCTCCCAGCGGTTCCAAATTATTTAAATTAATTAAAATTATTTATAATTATTAATATTAATAAGAGATGGCGCCTAACGCTTACCTCTAGTACCAAATTGATTACGTAATTTATCTAATAAGTAGCATAAAAAACTAGCCCGATAGATTTTCGGCAGTCTGTTGGTTGTAGCTATATATATATATTGTCATCTGTTATGATATTTTATTATTAAAAAAATATATATATATATATATGCACATGCACACATTAATTGAATTATTTTCTGTTCAGTATCTTTTAATTAATTAATTGATTGATCAATATCTGTGTTCATGTAGTAGTATGTAATCTAAAAATAGCCTGTAGATTTCTGACCTTGAAAGTCACTTAACTTTCATGTCATAAGTCACATGACCAAACTTCTTGGGTCACTGTCCCAAAATTGCTACCTAAAAATATGGTCAACTGGTAATATTATTTAGTCATGATTTGGACTCTATTATTATTTTTTTTTAAATTCTAACTGTTCTATTCAGAATAATTTCAGTTTATAATAATGAGCTTCATGCTAATTAAAGATTAATGATAAAATTTGATTAAAAGATACCATTCATTGTAATATACTGTACTTGGCAACTAATTACTCTTATTAAGTATTTAGTGATGCAGAACTACTTTAATTAAAATTGTAATTAAGTATTCAAAAGTTCTTTAGGGAAATGCCTATTTGGAAAATTTATTTTGATCACAATTGATTTTTGTGCAAATTTTTGTTTTGATTAAATAAAGTATACATGTTTTAATGCAGTTTGGCTGATTTTCTCTTGTGATAAACTCTATCTTAAAAAATTATATATAATTTTTAAGACATTTTTTAATGTTCATATTTGATTTTCTATGAAATTGCAAATTGCAACTCTATAAATTAAGTATTCAAATGAAAATTTTGAGGTAAAAAAATAATTAAAAATAAGACTTTGAATACTAATGATAATTTAGCATTTTAGAATATATATTTACTTTAAATCCAGTCATCATATCTATTTTTCAGTTTTTTTTATTTCTGTTTACAGTTTTTCAGATTCTATATAAAATCTTTTTAATGGTACAGCTGTAGTAATGTGAATACTTATTTACATGAATTGAAAAAGAAAATACTAAACTTGCATTTTATTTTTAAAAATATGTAAATACTACTTTATTAAGTTATATAATAATCAAAAACTAAATAGTAGTTTACCAAATAATATACTAAAATAATGAATTAATAGAAATACATAATTGTTAACTAGCTAGGTAATTGGTTTTCCATTTATTATGTAAAATAGATGATATATTAAATAATGTCTTGATTTATTTATAACTAAAATCTGATTTAAATTCCTAATATAAGCTTTATAGCTTTTCTTTATATATATAAAAAGCTAACTGATCATTAATTTTGTACCATTAAATAGTTCCCCTCAATTATTCATCTGATTTAATAAGTTTTTTAATCTTGATTTTTAATGAAAAATATATAAATATTTTTCATTAAAATATTTTTATTTCTAAAGTTGTTTTCTACTTCTATTTTATTTCTAAACTAAAAATATTTTTGTTTCTAAACTTATTGAATATTTTCTTTTATACTATCATCTCATTGTTATTTACTTCACGATTATTTTAAAAAACATGATCAAGTTTTCTTTTTGAAAATATTTGTAATTTAAAATAATAATTTATACTTACAAATAACAGAAAATTATTTAAAATTTATTATTTCCTTATGTAGGTGTTAAGTTTTACATATACATCTTGAAATTTATAACAAATAATTATTTAAAAGTATTAAAAAAAAACAAGCAAAATCAAGTTCAGCTTAGTTTTTTGAAAAATTAATATTCTTTTTATATTAAAATAGAACTAAAAAAATTAAAACTATGCAGAAAACAAATTCTTGATATAAAATTTTGTATACAAAGAATATTTATATTATGTCTCATATACAATACCAGGAATATTATTATTTGAGATTATATACTGAATTTCCATACAAATACAGTACATTGAGAGCTTATACTTATATTTTAATGTTTTAATTGATACACATAAAAAGTTACATTTATATATTATTTAATGAAATATGTATAATTTATTTTGTGATGGAAATTGATTTAGTAAAGAGAGGTTTAATGAATACAAAAACAGAATTTTTTGAAAAATAAGAATACATTAATTGTATACTCGAAAGGAATAAATTTTTTTGTTTAATCTGGCAGTTGATAGTAAATATGTAATTTTAACTGGTATGACACACACATTCAACAGTCATCTTACATCAGATACTAAGATATCAAATGTTTTTAAATGCTAAACTAAGTATTTAAGTTATCAATGTACTATATTACAATATATTGAATATGAAATATTTTAAATATATTTTTTATTAATATTTAGTTTATGCATTTATTTCTAAAAAAATATTTGTTGCAATAAAAAAGTGAAAAAATATCTCTAGAATGTCTTTATTAAAATCTCTGAAAAAACTTTTTAGAGATGAAAAAACTGTCAAATATTTTAATTTTATTTTTAGACTTATATCTAATTAACAGATACAAATCTTAATCATGTACAACCATTTCCATTAACAGTTTTTTTTGCCGAGTATCATTAAGTGATAGCTCTTACACAGTATGGTGTATTGTCACGCATCTTTTCTTTTTCACATTAAATTTGCATCAGACTATAATTTTGTTCATAACCTATTTTCTGGAATGTCATATTTGCTATTTTTGTATTACAAAAATATCTGCAAAGATTAACTTTGATTTTTCTTCAGTATTTAGTATTTACCCATAAATATGATTATGTAAAATTTTAATTAGTTTTTTGTTAATGACGAAAAAACCTAATTAGAAGTTATGTAATTTTATTGATTAATTATGTAAGATATTTTCTGAAATATCTTATTCTATTTATTTGTTTGTTTGTTTACAGTTTAATTATTATTTATTTATTTATAGTTATTAAATACTAACTTTTATTATCATTTATAAAAATATTTTTAACCAAATTATCTATATATAAATTGTTAAAAAACAGAATTGGCTTACTTAGTTCTGCATAGAGTTAAATATTACATAATATACAGTAAATGATATAAAAATAATAAAATATTTTTATTATTTTATTAATGTGCAATGCTGCATTAATTATTGCTTTTGGTAATTTGTTTTTAAAAAAATATATTTTTATTTTTCATATTAATTTTAACAATTTAATGTATTCATACAATATTTAATAATCTGAAAGAAGTTTGCACTAATATAAAATGAAAATATTATTAAAAAATATAAATTTACTAATAAAATATATCTACAATTATTTAAAGTTTTATAGAAACAGTGATTACTATATCCATATGATGTAGTAATCACTTACTGTATTTTTTTATGTAGTATCACTAGTATTTTTTTATTTTGAAATTTTTTATATTTTAATATAAATAGGATTATGATTAATAAGTAAAATTTTGATATAATTAATGATGATTAAATAAATAAGATTTTATAGTGGTTGAGTACTATGATAAATATTTTGTATATATGAAAATATATAAACAAAAATTTTAAATCAATATATTGAAAAACTGTTTTACTCATAATGTGATAAAATATTAAATCAATAATATATCATATTTACTGTAAGAACAGAATATTTATTATTATTATTATTATTATTAAACAGGGATACAGACACAAATATTGTACCAGGCTCTGTCTTTCTTCTCTTAGTAACTAAGTGTAATTGTTTTGAATGTTCTGTACATTATAACATATTTAGTGTAAAAAAAACATTTAAATTTTTCTACCATAATATGAAATTTTATAATTTTTTAAACTCTGGGAACAGAACTCCCTTTATAACATGAAACTTATTATCCAACTTTCCTATGCATTTTTTAGGAATGTATTCCATTTAAAGAATTGTTATTTGAAAAAGATTTCTGTCAAATATTTTAATTTTATTTTTTAGACTTATATCTAATTAACAGATACAAAACATGTCATCCTGAAAATATTAATAAACATTAACTCATTCTATTACACTCTATTATACTATAGCAAATTAGTATCACAGATATCAAATTGTCTAAAAGTTCATAAAGATAAACATAAAACAGTTATAAATATTTACTTCATATAAAAATGTGAGTGCTTATGTGAAATATAGAAATTAAACATTGTTTTTTGCATTACGCTAACTTAAATGTAAGAATCTTAAAAATATACAATAAGAAATGTGGTATTTTTTAAAATATTATGAATTTTTTTGAATATCATTTATATTAACATTGATATACAAAATATTAATTATTATTTTCTATATTATTGTTAGTTTATGATGAAGATGAAGATGCCTAGTTTTTCCTTCTTTTAAATTCTAGGTGTTACTATAAAAATGTTGATTAACCTGATCTTTAAGATTAACATCAAATGATTGTCAGATTATATCAGGCTAATATAGCATTAGTATAGCTTGGTATAATGCAGTAATTATTTGGTGTTACTATATAATGATGTGATCACATTCATAATCTATAACAAAAAAATTAACAAATATAATTACAATATTTTACATGTATTTTACATTTTTATTCTAGTAGTCAATTTTTATTGTTGTGTTAATAAAAATAATTTATTTTTGAATTTTGGCTTTTGACTGTAAATATTTATTATTGTGATGCTTAAAAATAGCATATTAATTTTGACCTAGAAACTAACAGTTATTGATTCAATATATGTTACATTATCAAAAAATTTTGTTATTTAAAGTTAAATTATCTTCATAAAATATAGAAAACATTTTTTAAATATCTTAATCAAAGAATGTTTTTATAATACTGTATATTGAAATAAATAACTTGATGATAATTCTAAAAATAAGAGACAAATTTGCAGTAAAAACTTTATAAGTAAATGGTAATTACTCCTATTATCCAAAATCTTTTAAACTTAGAAACCTTGGTTGGACAACAAAATTTTTTTATTTAAAAATTTGCACAGTCAGTATTTTGTATCTGCATAAATACCCAATGATTTATACTAAATGATATAAAAATTTACTTAGCTAAGTAGATAAAAGTGGCATTATCAGAGGAAATTGTCGGAAATAAATTTAGATATCAATTGTGCATAATCATCATCATATGCTCACTTATTTATAAAAATTAAAAGTTTTTGATTTAAATTGAAAAATTAATATATTTTATTTAAAAACATTATATTTATACTGTATATTTAAATTTTCTAATAGTTTGTATAAAATATACATAATTTTTTAATAACAAGTCTCATTCTGTTGAAAGCTTTGTTGTTATCATTTTGTTATAATTAATATTTTCTTAAAGTGTTCATTTTAACTTTTAAATTGGAATATGTAGTTCAATTAAAGATTAAAATATCATGTTATTTTTCTCTAGATTAGTGGAACGATTCTTGATGGATGGCTAGTATCCTTTTATTGCTTTCTCTGTTTTAACTTCTTATATTTCAATGCTATATTTAAACTTTAGAATAATTTATATGCTATTTAATATGTTGTTGTATGCTTTACATGTTTTAATATGTTACATACTATTTAATTTGTTGCAATATTTAATCATGTCTAACTAGTAGTAACCTGTGTTTATTTTTTATTTTAAAAATTATTATTTTTTAATCTTGTTAAAATTTCAAAAAAAATTTTTGCATTTCTTTTTAACTTTCTAGAAAATTTTTTAATTGTAAAAAATCTTTTGGAAATATATGCATCATAACATATCAAGTAAATTAATTATTTATTATTTATAAATAAGTCAACCTTTTTATAATTCTTACATATGAATCTAGTAAACCACATGAATTATCTACTTATGCACTTACACTTTTTAGACATAAGACAACACATGAAGATGAATCACTTATGATTGGTGGGTATTTTAAAAAGTTATCAAACCATCCAACAAATCCTATTTTAAAATATATGTATCAATTTCCGTTTCAGATTTTTGGGATACGGCTGGACAGGAAAGATTCAGTAGCATGCATCCATCTTATTATCACCAAGCTCATGCTTGCATATTTGTATGAATTTTGATACATTATTTACCATACATTTGATAATTTCTTTAATATTTAATATTTTATATAAATTGCTTTAGCAATTTTAATTTGCAATTTCAAATTTTCAAAGAAAAAATAAATGATTGTCTCTTAGTTATGTTTAATTATTTTTTTACTGATATTATCAGTAAAGAAATTTTTTAAGAAACTTGAATATAATAAAAAATTTATTGTATTTCATACAATCATACGTAAAGTCAATGAACATTCAATTAAATACTAATAATAAACTAATTGCTTTGTTATCAATTCAAGGAAGTCAAATCTTAACAAAAACAAGCATTTAGGAAATCAAACTTCCTTAGTTTCTTATGAAAATTTAGATCTTTAAATAATTATAAATGATCATCATAATATTTGTTATAAGTATAGAATAATGCATGTTTATTTTTATAAATTTTTAAAAAATGTATATTTAATTAAAATTCTACATTTCAGTTTAAGATAAATAGTTTGTGTATTACTACAAACTTACAAACTTGTTGATCTTAAAATGGGGATTATTTAACACATTTCAAAAACTTTGTTTTTTCATAAATATAAAAGTGACTATTGAGTGTGTAGAGTGTAATTATTATTATTATTAATAATAATAATTATAAGATGATATGGAGGATGGATAAGGTATTTATTGTACCTGTTGTCCTCTATTCTATCAATACTATTATTATACCACATACACTATACAAAAGTCTAGAAACATTAAACCTTAATAAAAACATATACATGGCACTACAGAAGGCTGCAACATTGAACACATGTCACATTGTTAGAAAGTTTCTAGATGTTGACACACATACCAATAACAGCTTTGTTACACTTCTTTGGGTAGCTATGCCTTGACTTTAATCTGGCATAGCATTTGACACCAGTATCAGCTGAGCATGATATTTGTAACATAATAATAATAATATATTCTGAATTGTAAAAATAATGAAAAGTATTTGATTTTAACCCTTGGTGAACGCGCCAGCGGCAAATTGCCGCAAAATAAAAATAAAGTCTTTTGTTTGACGTTGTACTTAATTATTGCAGAAGTACATCATAGTATTCTCTTTTCATATTACATGATACAACATGTTTATGAAATTGGGCAGTTATACTAACCGTTTAGTTGTTACTGGACTTTGAATCAAGTCGTACCTCATTTGAGTTGTAACTGCCGCTACACGCCCTGCCATGTAACTAAAATATCCATATACTTTTATATTTATATATTTAACTTATTTAATAAAGTAGGTCAATATTTGCAAGTTTATTGAATAAATATATTAAATTAACACTGTCGTAAGTTTCTATAAATTTTTAAATTTATATTAGTCTATATTTTTGGAAAAATATAAGGGAAATGAAGAGCCATTCAAAGTAGCAGCAAAAACCTAGAATTTGTTTTATTTGTAGCATACACAAAAACAATAGGAAAAAATTGATTTGTCATGAATGAGTAGAAATGTTTGCAAAAAGCATAGTAATATAGTTATTATATGTGCCATTGTGAAGGTGAACATCACATGGATATATAGTAACTTTTTTTTTTATTATCTAAATATTTTATAACCAATTTGTTCATTAAAATGTCGTAAAATTAATTTTCTGGTATTTCTGATTCATATTTTTAAAACAATAATTAATTATTGACTAAAATCAAGTAATATTACATATGTAGTGTAATTGCTGCAATGCGCCCTCTCGTGAGTTCCTGAAAAGTGCATTTACCAAAGGGTTAATATATATGTAAAATCTGAATTTATAATTAATTAATTATGTATGTACATATGAAAATAAGTAAGTTTATGTTAATCTGATTAGAATATCTTCTGAAATAGGTATTTGATGTTACCCGAAAAATAACATATAAAAATTTGTCAAATTGGTATAAAGAATTAAGAGAATATAGACCAGAAATTCCTTGTTTATGTGCTGCAAATAAAATTGATGGTGAGTGATTTTCAATTTATTATTAAATCATATATATTATTTTTTATATAGGATAGTTATTTGCATCTAAGTAGAAAATAACATTGTAAATATGAAATCCAAATTGTTGAAAAGCATGGTTAAAATTAAATATGACATTTAAAATTAGCAAAGTTATTCTTACATACAAAACTATATTCATTCTTTTTATTTCATATTCTTTTAGTCACTGGTTATAATTTTAAAGTTTATCACATATTATGAAACATAATAAATATTTTGTGTTATTTACAGTTTTATAAATACAGTTGATTCCTGTTATTAGCCCAGTTGGTTAGTAGGACATGTTATGTATTAGAATAAAACATTCAAGAATGGAATACTATAATGCAAGCATAATTTACTTTGCCTACTGGCCTTGAAATGCTGCTTAGTGGCCCTGCTGGCACAGTATTTTTCTTGGAAAACTAAACAAAAGAGACAAGAGTTTAGATATTTTCAGCTTTTCCATACGCGACCTCTGTCCGGTTTCCTCTATCAGCTGTCTATCTTTTCTAGATTGTACTGTAATGATTTTCTTTTGTACAGAAATAATTTCTCATCATTAAAATGGTTTTATTGCACTCAGATGTTTGTTTTATTGATGAAAATGCATTGACATAACTCTTTAACATAACTTGTTATATTGCCTCTCAATTGCATAACTTAGTGGGATGTTTATTTTGTACTGAAAAGCTCAGGTTCTGATGCTGTGCTATTAAGTGGAATTGATTGTATATGTTTATATATATTATTGTCATTCTGGTTTTAAAATATTTTACATTTATATTAGTCCAGAACATTTTTTAATAAATCAATAATTTTTTGTATTGTAGAAAATCATTTGAAATTTTAAAAAATTTCATTAGTTTTATTTGGAAAATNAGTTATCTAGCAACACTGCGGACTTCCCTTTCGCATAGCTTGTACGTCAGTCCCTCCTAGACACTCAGTAACAGTTTCAACCTTGTGCAGTAACTACATGATCCTAGAGAGCATGATAAGTGAAGTATTGTTTTTGTATTTCGTTACAGAAAATGGAATAGCGAAATTTGGAGTAACAGTGTGCCATCAAATTTTGTGTTAAGCTTGGTGAACTCGCAAGTTTGACCTATGAAACGTTGCAACGAGCCTGTGGGGAACATTCCTTATCATGAGCACATGCTTTTTGGTAGCACAAAGCATTTTTTGGAGGGCCTAGAAGCAGTAGAAGACGAACCACACTCAGGGAGGCATTAAACATTGAGAACTGTGGAAAGTGTGGAACAAGTGAGGGCTCCTTGAAAGGGTTAGAAAAAGGGTGCTTCAAGTCAGACAGGACACTGCAAACACTTGGATGCTTCACTATGACAACACCTCCTGTCACATGGCCATCTCCATCAACCAGTTTTTGAGAGAAACAGAAATTTCTGTGGTTCCCTAGGTCCCCTATTTGCCTAATCTCAGTCTGTGTGACTTGATTTTGTTCCCCAAAATCAAAACCCATTTGAAAGGACGTCATTTTGGTACTGCCAATAACATCCAAAGGAGTGTAACCAGGTTGCTGCAAGCAATTTCAGTTGAAGCCTTCCAGCATTGCTACAAAAACTGGCAATAATGCCTCCACTGATGTATGCTGCCCAAGGGAACTACTTTGAAGGGGATAACATTAATATATACAAATAAAATAAAATTATTGCAAAAAAACATTAGTCTCATTACTTTTCTGCCACATCTTGTATATTAGATAACTAGCTGTTACCCGCGACTTCGTCAGCGGAGGTTTTGCAAGCAAACCCCATTTACATCCAATATTTCAATAACCATAGTAATTGTTATATAACACCTACCGCTGAAGAGAATTGCCGAAAATCAAACGAACTATTTTCAATTTGATCAATTTTCTGAAACGTTTACAATCGTTCTATAATCGAACCAATACGCAATAACAAATTCGAATTTAAAAC